CAATATCAAATACCTGTATTGAATGTGAGTGGGCCGCTTAAGAGGTGCAGCACAAGAGAAAATATCAGTGGGGCATTTAGGCATGATTGCACAGCACATGAAGTTGGAAATAATGAAAAAAAATGCCAAGTCAGAGATAGATGCTAATTGTTAATAAGAGCAAAGATGCCGGGAAGGAGTCGGAGACAGTGCGCAGAGCCCCTTCATGGCAAGAATTCTCACCACCCCACTGCCTGCCAAATTTAAAACAGTTTTGCCGCTCCTCTTGATTGTCGGTTCTCTGGGGTATCAACGAAACATGTGGGGTATATTACCTATACCGGGTATGTAATCGTTGGTTATGCGAAGCTGTGGTTATTGGGGCGTCGGTTTTTGGGGTATACCAGTACCTCCTGTTTTTTGCAATTGGTACCAATGTACTGTACTTAACTGTAAAATAACTAAATAAGTAATGTTTCGTGCATTCCATCATAATTGATAGCAGTGGTTACATTATTATATTGTAGACCACATACAGTATTGACTTGCTGAAATATAAATTGCCAGCAACCAACTCTGCAATACTGCATTTTGTAATAGTTCCACATTTTGTATTGACACACTGCTTCAGGACTCGTTTCTAGTTAACAGACAGGACATGTCTGTAGAGCAAATATCATTGCAGTGATTTACATTACTTGCAGTTACAGTACTTTGGTATTTTCAATGACTTCATTACAAGCATTGCCAGTTTATAGTCATCAATGTTTTTAACTTTATTGATATGTGTATACCATCAATTTATTGAGGTTGATATAAGAATATGATATTTGCTTCTACTGGACAAAATACACTGAGCCCAATTTGGAATATATGGAACTCTTAACTCTTACCGCTCTGATTCTTTATAACCTGTCTGCTTCCCCAGGGACATTGTTTATGAATCTTTAGTTTCTTGTATACTGTATACATTAATTTTTTTCTTCAATTCTATTGTTTATCACCTTAGAATGAGCGTACAATAGTTAATGAATTCATAACTCGTCATAGAAACCTCTGACAGAGCATGAAATATTTGGTTGGGCGTGTTTTCAGGCGGGATTCAGCTCGTTATCGACTCGGAAATGACTGCCAAATGGATGGGAGGGTTTTACCAGTAGGTATGCTTCTTTATTCTTCATACTAATGCCTTACAGAGATTTTCTTCACATCTCTTTTATTTCACATACGCAAACATCATTACTACCAGGATGTGTCATTTCCAAGCCACCTAGGAGGTAGACACGTTGGCTCGTTTTTTTTTTATAGTGGTATCCCCAGGAAGCCTAGTCCACTCTTTTATGTTCATTGTTTCATTTCCAATAATGTTCATCAATTTGCTCTGACACAATGTTCGCTCTTTTATTCTCTCTCACTCTAGCCTCTATCATCTTTCACCACACTTTTCAAATTTTTCTTCACTTTCTTGTTCTAAATCTTCTTACATTGACTAAAACCAGGCAATTTATGCATAACTGAAACTGGGATATATAAATCAAATGACTAGAATAATGAGTCAATACACAGTAGGCTACACAACAAAAACTGACGGACTAGCACTCATACACCCAGCCAACAAGGCGGCCAGCTGCTAGGTATTAGCGGAGGGATACATCAAGTTTTTATAGCAACCAGTAGACGCCAGATCCGAGCTCAAACAATGGCGCGAAAACTCATGCCTCATATGAGTCCATTAGCGCGGTACGCACAGACGTTTTATGGCCTCATACGAGTCCATTAGCGTGCGCTGGTAGGGGTTAACCATTCCGAGTTATCATATTTTTCAATTTATTAAGGCATTTTCCTTCTGGTGTTTTGTCCCACCCCAATATCCATTTTTGAGGGCCAAAATGACTTACCATAATAAAATTTGCAAAAAAAAAAAAAGAACCCTTACCACCACTGCAGACAAAGGATGAGCATAATTCAAGCTTTTGGTGCCGTGTGGTGGGTGTGAGAGCTGAGGGGGGCTCACTGCACTACAGTACAATTCTGTATTAAAAACCCTTACAGCATCAACTTCACATGTATTTATTTACTTAAACACTACTATACATGTCTAGTGGTTAAATTGTGGGTGGAATAACACTTTGTACAAAATATGTGAAAATAAGTAGAGCGACTGTGGGTGGGTATCCTCTCACTAGCCCTACTAACACGTAACAGCAGGTGATTGGGCAGAGCCTCCCACGTATCCCGCATGGGTCACACGTGTTATGCCATTCTGGGATTGCATCATCATATCTTAGAATATTGTGTCGTGTAAAAAGTATTTAAAAAAATAATTTTCATTTGAATATTTTACTGCCATTCTGAGTTAACAAATTTGGAGTTATCAAGGGTTTACTGTAATTTTCTTCACTTATGTGCCATATACAGATTGGTTGCTAAACTTTCTGTTCATCATGATTACAGTCTAACATTGTAACAATATGTACTGTAGTGTCTGCTGATAAGTTTTTCCTTATTTTTTTCCAGGTTTCTTGTAATATTATGGCATTACTTGATGAATGGGTTGGCTTTTTATATTCTTGGAAAAGTCTGTTGTGATTTATTTCTTTGAAAATTCACTTGCTTTCATATTGTATTGTTATATACTGGTTATGTTACAATTTTTTTTGTGGAATCGGTTATTTTGCAAAATGACCGGCATGCATATTGGCAATTTTGTGACAGACAATCTTAAATTACCTGACCTAATTACCTAACAGCACATAGTCCATCGTTAAAAATAAAAGGAACAGGATCAGTTAACTGTGTATCAAGCTACACGAGCCATCCTAACCTAACCTAACCTTATTCAACCATAAGGTTAGGTTAGTTTAGGTTGTGTGTTTGTAAGTTATTTTGCAAAATTACCAATATGCATGCCAGTCATTTTTGCAAAATAACCGATTCCGCAAAAAAAAACATTACGTAAAATAAGGGTGTTCCAGAAATACTAAGTAATTAAATTCTTAAATCCCAATAATTTTGGAGTTACAGCCCATAAACTTTTGGTGGGATTGTAATAAAGTCTACGGAATGTAAATGAACAATCCACTCTTACTTACGAGGTTTATTAATCATAATTTACATAATTTTGATGTATTACAAATATTGTTATCATCATTTACAGCAAATGTTCAAAGTTCCGACCCTTTTCCTGAGTGCAGGCATCAGCTTGTCGCACACGTTCCAAGATCCCAGGGATGTTGCGAATACTTGTTGCACTGTCTTGCACACATTTCTTCACGGTTTGGGACCTCTGTAAAGTACAATGAAAGGCAAAAGTTGTGTCATGAAATTTGGTGAAAATATGTGCTGAAGGGCTAAACTTTTGGTGTGCTCTGCCTTGTGGTAGGGGGCTCTCATAATGTTTCACGAGTTATATTTAATCTTTGAACAAAACCGCGACACGACTTTTGTCTTTGATTGTACACCTTATTTTTATGTGACCCCACAGGTAGAAGTCAAGTGAATTGATGTCAGGTGACTGAGGTGGCCATGACACAGGGCCGCCACGCCCTATCCATCTGCCACGAAACACAAAATTTAGGTAATCCCTTGTTACCCTAACAAAATGAGCAAGAGCACCATCGTGCTGAAACCACATTCATTGCCAAATCCCGACAGGCACATCATCCAGTAGCATTGGCAATGTGTCTTCAAGAAAACGTCTGTAGGTTTCACCTGTCAGTCTCTCAGGTAGAAGATATGACCAATAATGAAGTCACCAATAATGCCAGCTCATACACTTATGGAGAATCGTACCTGATGAGATCGATGGGTCACTGCAAGTGGATTCTCAACAGGCCAGGTATGCGTGCTGTGTGTATTGAAAAGGCCATCTCAAGTGAATGTTGCTTCATCAGTGAAAAGCGCGAGAGATGGAAAGAGATGGTTTTCTGCATGCTGCCTTAGCAACCACCGACAGAATTGCATCCGAGGAGGATAGTCTACATCAGTTAGAGCTTGTACCTTCTGATGATGGAATAGATAAAGGTCATGATTGTGTAGGATCCTCCATGCAGTGTCCACTGACAATTTCAGTTTCTCGGCGATCCGTCGAATACGTGTTCCAGGGCTGTTCTCGATGATGCGCAGTATCTAGTCCTCTGCGGCATGTATGCACCCGTTTAATGTTGCCCTGTCTCTTGGAACGGCACAACGTCGACAACTACCAGTTTTGCGTAATCTACGCTCCACAGCAAGAAATGCTGGACGTGAAGGCACCCTGCGGTTCGGGAAACATTCTCTGTACAGCCGAACTGCCTCAGCTGCGTTTCCACCAGCTGCTCCCAGTGACAGTAGCATATCCGCGTATTCACTAAATGAGTACTCCTCCATGTCCACATAATTTTGTGCTTGCCCACTCCTGATTGATGCAGACATTTAACTCCTGCCAATACTGGGAAGGATGTGGTCTGCCAGCCCCAACCCTTCACCTCATGTCAGCTTGGTTTGGCCCCCCTCTTGATATCACCACTTGAACCACCAAACCACTCACCGATGCAACTGACCCTTACAGCTCGAATAGGTTTAATTCTTTCCTTCGGAGTTTGATTTACACTCCGTAGATTTTATTACAATTCTACTAAACGTTTATGGGTTGTAACTCCAAAATTATTGGTAATTGAGAATTTAGTCACTTAGTAATTTATCCTTATTTATGTCTCAGGAATTCACTCCATGATTTATGAAAAGTATTTCTGGAACACACTGTATACTGTAGTTTACTGTAATTTCATTTCATTATTAGCATTGAGAGGATTGTGTAGTGTAATTTATAAAATATGATTTTTATGCTGCTGAAATTGTTGTATTCTTTGGTTGCAATATGGTATTGTGAGGTTGAGTGACATAAATGTCATTAATCATTTGTTAGCTGTTGGAAATGTATGTTCCTTCATTGGTACATTATAGCTGTACACCTTTAAGATGGGTTAGCTGTGCAAATCTGACTACAGACCTCCGCAATTTACCTGTTTATCCCTCAACAGCTGGTGGCGTGGGAAAGAGTGCACTCACCATTCAGCTTATTCAGAATCAGTGAGTATACTGCTTGGGGTACTTATTCACATTCGTTTTGTATACTCTACTCTATATGTATCATTGTTTTAATCAATAGCACTTGATATTTCACATAGTACTGTACGTACTGTATTCCTGTACTGTGCAATATATGATTCTTTTAAGGGAAACTAAAACCACCTTATATACATTACTTTTTAAATTATTTGACAGATTTTTAGCTATATATTGTAGCATAAGTAGCATAAGCTAATTTGTCTAATTTAGTCTTTGTACAGTGCAGTGCAATACAGTACACGTATTTGGTTTTTACAAAAAAAAAAATACAGTTGTGTCGCAGTTTCCTGTTACCTTTGGAATCACTAATTAGAGGTGAACTGGAAGCAACATTCATAAATGTTTATGGGTTAAGTTATCAAACCCAAATGGTCTTTTCTCCATTTATTAAGAAAATAGACTATTGCATAATAACTGAGATATCACTGTAATTAAAACTGAGCTGTGAGCGTGTATAATGGACAAAGCGTTAACGAATCCGTTCCAGAAGGTCGTTCGTTAACCGAAAAGTTCGTTAACCGAAACTATTGTTTCAATGGGTTTTTGGGTAATTGGTTCCAGCTCACCGAAAATTTCCTAACTTCAACAAAAATGGTAGAAAAATTTACTTACTTTGAGGTGTGTATGTAGAAGGCTCCTGGATGATGATGATGATGTGCATTTGAAGTGGGAGGTGGAGGAGGAGAAGGAAGAAGAGAAGGAAGTGGAGGTGGAGGAGAAGCATTTTACTGCTTCTTGGAAGGTGAGTCACCTTCCATGAAAATGTCAGGAACCTCTGGACTGACAGATTCTCCACCATGAACATCCTCTCTCCTTCTTGAAGTGGAAGGCTGAGGGATAGCATCATCCTCTCTCCTTCTTGAAGTGGAAGGCTAAGGGCTAGCATCTTGTTCCCTCTGCCTTTTACTGAAGAAAGTGTCAATTGTGGTCTGTGGGGCACCTGTCCTCCTCACCATTAACTTATGTTTAAAGAAGGAGACCACTGAGTCCTCAACATGACACAAAGTTAGTTCAGTTTTTTCCACTTCTGGGTGCTTTGAAGCCAGTTCCCTGAACTTCTCCCAGTAGTAAATCACATCTTTCAACTGTTTAGCTGACATATGGTCATCACTTTCAATTTCCTCCTCACCACTGTCAGCCTCTACCCGTAACATCTCATCCAGTTGCTTCAAGTCATCAGGAGTAAGTTCCTCCTCATGAGACATCACAAGCTCTTCCACATCCTTCTCCTCCACTTCAAGGCCCAATGACTGACCAATGGACAAAATCTCCTGGTCCAACTCTGTTTCTTCCTCAAATCCCTCAAAATCATGGACTGCTGATGGCCACAGTGCTTTCCATGAAGAATTGAGGGTTCTATTGGAGACTTCTTGCCATGATGACACAATCAATTTTACAGCCTCCAGGACGTTGAATTGTGTCTTCCAGAACTGTTTCAGTGTTAGTTCAGGATCAGTGGAAGTTGCCTGATGACACCTAAACATTTTCTTCATGTACAACTTCTTGAAGTTGCTGATTACATTCTGGTCCATTGGCTGTATGATTGATGTAGTGTTGGGAGGCAAAAACAACACTTTCACAAAGTCAAATTGATACTCCAAATTGCTGGCAAGGTCAGGGTCATGACCAGGAGCATTATCCATGAGGAGAAGAGCCTTTAAAGGGAGTTTATTGGTGGTTAGGTAGCTCTTGACAGAAGGGCAAAACACATCAACAGCCCATTCATTAAAGAGCTGTCTTGTCACCCATGCCTTACGGTTGGACTTCCAATAAACTCCAAGCTTTGTTCTTACCACTTTCTGTTGCTTGAACACCCTGGGGTTTTCAGAGTGGTAGACAAGCATAGGCTTCAGTCGGAAATCCCCTGAAGCATTGGCACCAAGCAATAGAGTGAGACGGTCTTTCATGGGTTTATGCCCAGGTAAAGAGGCTTCATCTCTGGTGATGAATGTTCTTTTGGGCATCTTTTTCCAGAACAGCCCAGTTTCGTCCACATTGAACTCTTGCTGTGGAAGATAATTTTCTTCTTCCATCAGTTTTTTAAATTCAACTAAAAACTTTGCTGCCCCTTCTTTATTAGCACTAGCAGCTTCACCATGCCTAACAACACTGAAAATGTCACTTCTTTTCTTAAATTATTCGAACCAGCCTTTGCTAGCCCGAAAATCTTCAAATTCTGTGCCTGAAGAACCAGGTTGGTCTGTCTTTAAATGTTCGTAAATCTCCCTGGCTCTTTCACAAATGAAATCATCAGAAACTGAATCACCTTTCATCTGTTTTTCCCTAATCCAGATGATAAGTAACCTCTCAGTTTCTACGATTAGGGATCTATTTTTAAACACTCTTGTAGATTTGTCTCTCACGTTCACTTCCTTAAATTTGTCTTTTTGTGCAAGAATTGTCGACACAGTTGATGCCGACATGCCATATTCTTTGCATAGCGCATTTGATTTAATGCCGTGTTCGTGTTTTTTTATTATTTCCTGCTTTATTTGGATTGAAATTGCTTCTCTTGATCTCTTAGGCCCCATGCTGGATTCAAACAATGTCAACACGTATTTTTCAAAGTTTAACTAGCTGTAAATAAAGAATATTTTCTTTAAAATAACACTGCGCTGCACTATATATTGTCAATATGTAAAATAAATTTCAAAATGACCAATAATTTGCTTGGAAACACAGAAAAAAAGCATTTAGTTGAAGAGAGTCTCAAGCAAGATGTTACCTCCAGTGAAAACAGAGAGAGACTAACGCCTGCTTGCTGTGTTAAGAGGCTGGATGCCGCGCATTAAACTAGTCACTTTACCTTCAATTTTGTTCAATAATTGTTAAAATGACTAAAAAATTGAATATTAAACTTTTAAAATTATTGAATAGTATAAACTTCTTGATATTTACTAAAATAGTAAGGAATTTAAGCCCTAGAACCGATTAATGTATTGGCGGACTGATACTAAAGCTGGTTGCCCGGTCAGTGCAAGCGAAAACATGTTGAGGTCATGTTCGTAAGAACTTCGTTAACCGAATTTTTTTTCGTTAACCGAATTGAAGATCCTTATGGAAGGCAGTTCGTTAATCGAAATTACGTTAACTGAGGTGTTCGTTAAACGAGGGGTCACTGTATGTAATTTGCTTCATGGTCACACGTCTAGGGGGAGCGAGAGACAGGAGCAGACTGGCCGAGGGCCGGCTACTTTATTCATGACAGCAGTCAAAAGAGAGAGTTCAGTGGAAATATACTGTCACATGTCCAGTGGATGACTAATCACTGCTCCTAGGAAAGTTACCGTGGGTGATATAATTATGTAAATCTAATGTATATAACCCATATTTATATAAGTACAGTCAACCCTCACTTTACGCGGTTAATATAACCCACAGGGTACCGCGGAAAGTGAGAAACGCGTAAAGTGAACAACATAACATATGGGATTAATTGAAATAGAGACCGGGCCGACCCCCAAACTCCACTTTTTGACGACCCCCAACTATGTTGTAGTAAAAATTTTATCTTAACTTTATGATGGTATGCACAAACAATTAATATAGAAGAGGTTAGGTAAGGAAAAATAAAGGTTAAGTTAGGAAAAATAAAGGTTAGGTTAGGAAAACTAAAAGTTGGGTTGAACATTTACGTTAGTAGAAGAGATGGGTCGACATACGGGGATGGAGGCTGGTTCCGAGGCAGAGGGCAGGCTACTGGCCCTCAGGTGAGTCATCATCACTGTCATCCACACTTGTCAGGGCCTCCCTGACAAATCCCTCAAAGTCATCTTCACTGTCTCTACCTCTGTCACTATCACTGGCTTGGGCTGGCTGTGGTGGGTTGTGGGCGAAGAACTCTGTTATGCTTTGCTGACGGCTGGTGTTTATGTTGTCGTGATAAACCTTGAAGTAGGGCTCCATAGTCTGCAACAGCTGGGTAGTGAAGATTTCATACCTGTTTGCGTCAGGGTCGTCGGAAAGGAGGAGCTTGATTTTCTCAACACACTCGATGGCACCCCTAACATTACTATGGGATAAGCGGTGTTCTTCTTGGGATGACGCACCACCTGCCTCTTCACTGACGTCATCATCATCTACCATCTCTTCGGTAGTCACATGAGGATCCCTTATCACCTCCAGGATGTCGTCGTTGGTGGTCTCGGAGAAGCCTGCAGCTGTAACACACTGCGCAGCTTCTCTGGCAAGGTCCATTGCTACTGCAACAGTCTGAACCTCACCAGTCACAGATTGACTCTGCCTAACGCCCGGAATGCCTTGCAACACATGTCTCCATGTGTGACGAACAGTTGCTACAGACAGCTGATCCCATGCCTCCACCAAGAAGTCCACAGCTTTCTTGATGTTGAATATTCTCCAGAATTGTTTGAAAAGTATTTTTTGCTCTGCCAACTGTTAATCCTCGTCGCCTTCGCTCTTGCTATCGGTGGTGGTGTCACTCAGGTTACGCAACTCTTCCCTGGAGTTGGTGTAGTCGTTCAGGAGCTTGAATTTTTTTGTTGAGAATGCAGCTTTTACATTACAGATTAACTCTCGGTCCATGGGCTGTAATATAGACGTAGTGTTGCGAGGAAGGAAGACCACTTTTACGTTGGGGTGACGATCTAACAGCAGGGGCGAGTGTCCTGGTGCGTTGTCCAGCAGCAACAAAATCTTGAATGGCACAATCTGTTGCTCACAGAATTTCTTTACATCGGGAACGAAACAGTCATCAAACCAGGAGAGGGACAGTGTAGAGAACATCCACTCCTTACGTGCGGTCAGCCAGTGGACATTTAGCTTGGTCATGTCCATGCTCTTGTAGGCGTGCGGCTTGCGGGCTGTGTGGATCACCGATAACTTGAGCTTACAGGTACCGGAGGCATTGGTGGTAAACAGGACGGTGATGCGCTCCTTCTGCAACTTCCGGCCCCGATTCTTGCTGGCATTCTTCACAACAAAGGTCTTGGAAGGTAGCT